ATTTTGGCTCACTGCAAGCCCCGCCTCCCAGGTTCACACCATTCTCCTGCCTCAGCCTCCCGAGTAGCTGGGACTACAGACACCGGCCACTACGCCCGGATAATTTTTTGTATTTTTAATAGAGACGGGGTTTCACAGTGTTAGCCAGGATGGTCTGGATCTCCTGACCTCATGATCCGCCCGCCTCAGCCTCCCAAAGTGCTGGGATTACAGGCATGAGCCACCACACCCGGCATATATATATATATATTTTTATTGAGATGGTGTCTCGCTCTGTTGCCCAGGCTGGAGTGCTGTGGCGCAATCTCGGCTCATTGCAAGCTCCGTCTCCCAGGTTCACACCATTCTCCTGTCTCACCCTTCCGAGTAGCTGGGACTACAGGCGTCTGCCACCATGCCTGGCTAATTTTTTTTGTATTTTTAGTAGAGACGGGGTTTCACCGTGTTAGCCAGGATGCTCACGATCTGATCTTGTGATCCGCCCACCTCAGCCTCCCAAAGTGCTGGGATTATAGGCGTGAGCCACCCCGCCTGGCCTAGTTTTATATTTTTATTAGAGATGGAGTTTTACCATGTTGGCGAGGCTGGTCTTAAACTCCTGACGTCAAGTGATCCATCCGCCTCGGTCTCTCAAAGTGCTGGGATTGCAGGCTTGAGCTACTGCACCTGGCCGAATCTAATACTTTTCAGCTAAAGTATCTAGTTTCTCTGAGTTCTAGTTTCAAATTTTCGAGGTAGAATCTTAGTCCAGCCCAGTGTCTAGATCAGGTTTCTCTTGGAACTCTGTCCCATCATTCCTCTCTGCGAATGTGTGAAGAAAGAATGGTACAAGTACTTTCATCATTGTTGAAGTACACAGGGCTACAGGGAGAGAGCGTGGCCTGAATTTCTCCCCAACGGGATCTAGTTCATAATGTATCTTCAATGTTTTTCTATCTCTACCCTCCCAGAACACGTTTCTGTTATTGATGAAATAATTGTCTTTACTTTTTTTGGTGGTGGTGTGTCCTTTTCTTAGGTGGTAGCCAACATTAGATTTGTAAGCTTGCTTATTTTTTTCCTTACGAGTCTGATGTATATAGTAGTATTTCTTCTTCATTTTATATGAACAGATAAAGGCCTCTTTCCATTTTTATAAAACTTAAATACCATTATCACTTTAACAAATAACAGTTCCTTAATATACCTAGTTATTTACATTTAAGTTCTTCAATTGGCTCAAAAATGTCTTTTAATCTTTCTGTGATTGAGAATCCAGACACAGTCCATAGTTTCTTTTATTCTGTAAATCTATCTTTGTTCTCTCTTAAATTTATTTTTTGCCATTGATTTGATAGAGAAATATAGCATTTGTTCTCTAGTCTACCCCATGTTATTTTCTTACTTGTTTTCTTGTGGTATTTACTTCATTCTCTATCTCCATGTTTTTCATGGGCTGAGGATAGAGTTAGATCTTCAGGCTCAGTTAAAGTCAACCAGATTCAACCTCTTGGGGCAAAAATAATTCTTAAGAGAGTGCTGTGGACTTCAAACTTCTAATATTAAAACATGACACCAACTTGGTTTTGTGCTTACAAGCTGTTATCACTTATTTTGAAAATTAATCTGTATACTTGGATGTTCATTGATAAAGCATGTTTCTTCCTTTCTCGTTAGGAAGAGCTTGGATTTGATTGAATCTCTGCTGAGGCTTGCAGAGGTTGGGCAGTATGAGCAAGTCAAACAGCTCTTCAGCTTCCCTATCAAACACTGTCCAGACATGCTGGTATTGGCCTTACTACAAATTAACACCTCTTGGCATACCTTGCGCCATGAACTTATCTCCACTCTGATGCCAATTTTCCTTGGAAACCATCCTAACTCAGCTATTATTTTGCACTATGCATGGCATGGGCAGGTAAGATGTGACCTTGTGCTTACCATTTTTTCATCTGAATAATTGACTTTCAGAGTGTTGAGGAAGCTCAAGCAGAGAAATTTTTTTTTTTACATCTCTGAATTATTATGACTTTAGAAGTCATACTGTCATAAAACTTGTTTTATCTGTTAGAATCATGTGAGGAATAAAATATAAGATCCGAAAAGCAAGGAGGCAAAATAATATTTAATGATTTTATTTTCTTTCCCTTTTTTTTTTTTTTTTGAGATGGTGTCTTGCTCTGTCGCCCAGGTGGGAGTGCAGTCTGGCTCACTGCAACCTCCATCTCTTGGGTTCAAGTGATTCTCCTGCCTCAGCCTCCTGAGGAGCTGGGATTACAGGCATGCACCACCTTGCCTGGCTAATTTTTGTATTTTTGGTAGAAGCGGGATTTCACCATGTTGGCCAGGATAGTCTCGAACTCCTGACCTCAAATGATCCATCCACCTCGGCCTCCCAAAGTGCTGGGATTACAGGCATGAGCCACCACACCCGGCCAATATTTAATAATTTCAGTATTAAGAAAGGTCTGTATTGCTGGGGCATCCCTTTTCTTTTTATACTAAGGAACTTAAACATCTATCATGGAGGCAGAAGGTACTGATGTCGTATTTTCACGGGAAATGAAAGAAGATCACAGATCAATTTAATTAGCATTCTTTTCTAATTTATCTAAATCCAACATTTACATTTTATTTCAGTTTGTGCTGAAATGCCTTTCAAGCCCCTGTGCTTTTCACCTCTAATTTTGTAGAATGTGTTTGGCAAGTAAGTATTCTTTTGTCCACTGATTTTTTTCCCTCCCCCACTTTTTTTTTTTTTTTTTTGGAGAGAGGATCTTGCCCTGTCACTTAGGCTGGAGTGCAGTGGTGCAACCATGTCTCACTGCAGCCTCAACCTCCTGGGCTCAGTCAGTCATCCTGCCTCAGCCATCCCGAGTAGATGGGACCACAGGCACATGCCACCATACCCAGTTAATTTTTTGGATTTTTGTAGAGACAGAGTCTTGCCAAGTTTCCCAAGCTAATATCCTACTTTGTATGATACATGTAGAAAAAAAAATTTTTCTTTGCCTTTACCTCAGGTGTCCTTTTTAGTTACTTTTTATCCTTTACCCATTCTTGTAATAGTTTATATTACATACAAGTGCTTTTTACAAATTAATGAAATAAGGCTCTTTATTGTAAGTGAAAAATGATAGCCTTAGTTCTAGGTCATTCAGTTAGTTTCTCCTCCTTTCCTAGAGACTCAATTAACATTGTAGACTTAACAGTTTACAAAATGCATGATAAACATTTAACCAAGCATTTGCAGTCCAGATGGTCTTCATTCCTTTCTCACCAAAGCTGTGAGGTAGAAAGGGCTGGTAAACAAGCTGCATCTCCTCACTTGTGATTGAATACTTGTTCTAGCAGACCATCTGCCACTCTAGGACAATTAACTGGGATATTACTTGGACATAGCAATAGTAATGATCTTGCTGTTGCTTCTATGATAAATACTCACTGAGTTCCAGCTATTTGCATCATTCATGGTTATTTCTGAAAACCAGTCTACCTGCCAGTAAAATAAAAGAAATGGAATAAAAAAGATTCTTGTTTGTGGAAATAAGATTTAGAATGCGTGTACAGGTGCCATTCCCAGAAGTAGTGATACATCCAACACTATACTGTGCAACATGAGAAATAGTTACCTCAAACTGTTTTGTTTTTATTCCTATACCAGTAATTTGCATTTTAAGTAATTATGTAAACTTTATGTAACCTCATGTTCACATAATCTAGTTCACATTTTATTTTTGAAAATGATAGGCAGACTTAATATAGGACAGATAAGTTTGATGAATGACTGTATTACCGAAGTTTAGGAACAGGCTTTATTTGGAATATGTAGAGGTAACTTGGCTTTGCCATAAAGAATATCATGGTAATTGCATAGTTTGAGGCCTGAATGTAATGTCAGCACAGGTATACCTGATTTTTATACAAGTTCTAGTAAAATTAACCGGGCATTTGTAATAATATCTATCACAGTGTTTAGCGGTATATCTATTTAATCTTTCTTCCCTTTCTTAGGGACAGTCTCCCTCAATTCGCCAACTTATCATGCATGCAATGGCAGAATGGTACATGAGAGGGGAGCAGTATGATCAGGCCAAATTGTCTCGAATACTTGATGTGGCCCAGGACTTGAAGGTGAGTTCAGCAGGACAGAGTGACACCAATTTATTTACTAATGAGAAATAAAGGCCGGGCGCGGCAGCTCAATCCTGTAATCCCAGCACTTTGGGAGGCCGAGGTGGGCGGATCCACGAGGTCAGGAGTTCGAGACCAGCCTTACCAAAACTTGGTGAAACACCGTCTCTACTAAAAACAGAAAAATTAGCCGGGCGTGGTGGTACACGCCTGTAATCCCAGCTACTCGGGAGGCTGAGGCAGGAGAATCGCCTGAACCTGGGAGGCGTAGGTTGTGGTGAGCCGAGATCGCGCCACTGCACTCCAGCCTGGGCGACAGAGCAAGACTCCATCTCAAAAAAAAAGAAGAAAAAAAGGAAAAAAAGTAAATGCTTATGTAACAAAGATGCTCTAGGAATAATTCACATGTAACTAGCTCCTAGAATGAGTTGAGATTTAGAGGTTTCTTGAAAAGGATAGGAAGGAGAGTGACTTTAGGTAGATAAAAGTGTTTTTGATTGATCTTCCATATATTGTAAAGCTGTTTTATAGTGAAAAATTGGCTTTTCTCATAAGTTATATTAGATGCAGTTTTTGGAGAAACTAGGCATGTTTTTTCCCTTAAGCAACTCTCTGAGAATCAACAGGATCTTTTAATGAATTACTCTGTGTCTTTTTTTTTTTTTTTTTTTTTTTTTTTGAGATGGAAACTTACTCTGTCACCCAGACTGGAGTGTTGTGGCGCCTCTTGGCTCACTGCAACCTCTGCCTCCCAGGTTCAAGTGATTCTCCTGCCTCAGCCTCCCGAGTAGCTGTGACTACAGGCGCCTGCCACCGTGCCTGGCTAATTTTTGTATTTTTAGTAGAGACAGGATTTCACCATGTTGGCCAGGCTGGTCTTGAACCCCTGACCTCAGGTGATCCACCCGCCTTGCCTCCCAAAGTGCTGGGATTACAGGCATGAGCCACCATGCACAGCGTGGACTCTATATTATTAATCACTAGGTGCATTAATGTACTGGTGATGTAGTTGTGCTTAAACCTGTGTTTAGATTTTGAAAAATGGGTAGGGATAATTATGCTTTGAGTCTTATTCTGCTCTAGGTTTAGTTATTTTTAAAAGTACGGTAAAGTTTGTTTGGAAGGTAGTGTCATGTATTCACCTTTAAAATGTGATCATTATTTTAGAAAATAATGACTAATGTTACCATCGAATTGTGCTAAGCTGTTTAAATTGTGACCAAGGAAGTATTAGCAGTGTGTTTTATTTGAACTTTGTGGAAAGCAAGAAACAGAATGTGGGACAGAGATAGTTTCTTAATTGCTCCACTTGCATTTTCTAATATGCGTTGTCCTTTAGGCCTTGTCAATGCTGCTAAATGGTACTCCATTTGCCTTTGTTATTGACCTTGCTGCACTTGCTTCACGTCGTGAATACCTCAAACTTGATAAATGGCTCACAGATAAAATTCGAGAGCATGGGGTAAGCAGGATTTGTTCATTTATTTTTCCTCTTAAATTTTGGTGGCTAAAATGACTAAAGTACAAGTTTCAAAATTTGTGCAGCAGTAATAAACTAAAAGTAGAAAAATTTAAAAGAAACAACTTTTTGAAGTGGCAATGCAGATGTGTTATATATTTTGGATTTTAGTTATAGTGCTTGGTAGTTATCTTTAATCCAAAAACATTTAATATCAATTTTAAATACACTGAGAGACTTTTCTCTTCCTCAGGAGCCTTTTATCCAGGCGTGTATGACTTTTTTAAAGAGACGGTGTCCTTCTATTTTGGGTGGACTTGCCCCAGAAAAAGACCAGCCCAAAAGTGCTCAACTTCCTCCAGAAACTCTGGCGACAATGTTGGCCTGTCTGCAAGCTTGTGCGGGGTAAGAAGTACATGGATGAATATGACTCTCTTTGAATTGGATTATATGAATAATTGTAGATTTGTGGAAGAAGAGGTTCAGTGAAAGTTACAGCAGTTTAAGATGGTCCAATGTTTTTTAAGTCCAAAGTCCTATACTATTTATGATACATACTAGATCCATTTAAGTTAAGGTTTTGTATCTGGTGTGAGATAGAGGTCCAAATTCATCTTTTGCATGTGAATATCCAGTTTCAGCAGCATTTGTTGAGACCACTACTTTCCCTTTTGAATTATCTCAAAGCAATTGCCTGTAGTGCATGGGTTTGTTTGTGGTCTCTCTCTTTTAAGTGGCAAGGTCTTGCTGTCGACTAGGCTGGAGTACAGTGGTGCAATCATAGCTCACTGCAACCTCAAACTCCTGTATTAAGCGATCCTCCCACCTCAGCCTCAGCCTCCCAAGTACCTGGGACCACAGGCACATGCCACCCCTCAGCTGTTTAAATCATCTTCTTCTTCTTCTGTTTTTTTTTTTTTTTTTTTTTTTTTTTTAAGAGATGAGGTCTCAGTATGTTGCCCGAGCTGATCTCAAACTCCTGGGCTCAAGTGATCCTCCTGCCTCAGCCTCCCAAAGTGCTGGGATTACAGGTGCGAGTCACCACACCCGGGCTGTTTTTGGTTTCTTAATTCTGTTGATCTGTGTCTCTTAGGCCAGTTCCACAGTCTTGATCACAATAGATTTTCAGTAAGTTTTGAAATTGGGGATTATGAATTTCCCAGCTTTGTTCTTTTTTAAGATTGTTGCAGCTCTTCTGGGTTCCTTGAATTTTCCTAGAAATTTTAAAATCAGCTAGTCAAGCCTGGGCGTGGTGGCTCACGCCTGTAATCCCAACACTTTGGGAGGCCGAGGTGGGTGAATCACGAGATCAGGAGATCAAGACCATCCTGGCTAACACAGTGAAACCCCGTCTCTACTAAAAATACAAAAAAATTAGCCACGCGTGGTGGCAGGCACCTGTTGTCCCAACTTCTGGGGAGACTGAGGCAGGAGAATGGTGTGAACCCGGGAGGCAGAGCTTGCAGTGAGTCGAGATCCCACCGCTGCACTCCAGCCTGGGCGACAGAGTGAGACTCCATATCAAAAAAAAAAAAAGAAGATCAGCTAGTCAATTTTTGCAAAAAATTTGCAAAACAGCCTACTGGGAATGTTGAGAGTATTATGTTGAATTTTTAGCTCATTTTCGTAAGTACTGCCATCTTAATAATAATGTCTTTTTAATCCATGAATCTGGGATGGTTTTCTACTTACTTAGGTCTTTTAATTTTTTTTTTTTTCTTTTTGAGATGTTGTTTCACTCTTGTCGCCCGGGCTGGAGTGCATTGGTGCGATTTCGGCTCACTGCAACCTCCGCCTCCCGGGTTCAAGTGATTCTCCTGCCTCAGCCTGCCGAGTAGCTGGGATTACAAGTGTGCACCACCACATGCATCTAGTTCTTGTATTTTTAGTAGAGACAGGGTTTCGCCATGTTGGCCAGGCTGGTTTCAAACTCCTGACGTCAGGTGATCTGCCTCAGCCTCCCAAAGTGCTGGGATTACATGTGTGAGCCACCACGCCCGGCCTCTTTAATTTTTTTCAATGATATTTTTTCATTTCAGTGTACATCTTGCACTGATTTTGTTAAATTTATTAAGTATTTATTTAACTTAATTTTTTTTTTTTTTTTTTTTTTGACAGAGTCTTGCTCTGTTGCCCAGGCTGGATTGCAGTGGCACAAT